ACTTTTCATTCTAGTACCTGGAAGGTGGGCCAGGAGGGTAAGGAGTTCAAGGTCACCCCCAGCTGCATACCAAGTTCAAGGCAGCCTAGGCTAATGAGACCCTGTCTGGGGGGAAAAGAAAAGAAGAAAGAAACCGGGCTTTAATGGCTCACACTTCTAATCCCAGCGCTTGGGAGACTGAAGCAGGAGAATAATTACTTGGAGTCTAGCCTGAGCTACATAGTGAGTTCAGGCCAACCCAGGCTTCTGGGTGAAACCTTACTTCAAAAAAGCTGAAACAGGGCTGGAGAGATGGCTCAGAGGTAAAGAGCACTGACTGTTCTTCCAGAGGTCCTGAGTTCAATTCCCAGCAACCACATGGTGGCTCACAACCATCTGTAATGAGATCTGGTGCCCTCTTCTGACCTGCATATATACATGTAGGCAGAACATTGTATACATAATAAATAAAGATATCTTTAAAAAAAAAAGCTGAAACATAGAAAATAGTAGGTATATTTTCTAGATAATTTTATATCGCAAATTCTTCCTGTACCACTCAATTGTTGCTACTTAGATTGAATATCATGTAGCCCAAATTGGCCTCAAACTCCCACTGTAGCTGAGGACAAGTTTGAACTTTTTGATCCTCCTGCCTCCAACTCCCCAGTGCTGGTATAAAAACTGTTGTCACTATGCCAAGCTGGAAAAAAAAATGGCTGTACCCCTTGAGGGGACACTGGCCCACTGGAGCATGTGGCTCTGGCAGGCCCTGGCCCTCTCCCCATTCCCCCAGCCTTGCTGAAAACAGTTAGATGACATTCCCAAAGTGAGCCACCAAGGTCTATTCCCTTATTTGGCCATTTCTTCCTCCTGAGGAATGACCACCAAAGTCCAGCAACCAGAAGCCCTTTTGGTTCATCTAATTAACATACCAATGAAAATGAAACACCTCATCCTACCAGGAGGTTCCCCCTTCACCTTTATAAACCGCCATTTGCCTATGTGCCACGTCTGTCTCCTCTCTGTCCAGAGGCAGTCCTCTGTCCCCTCGGGACAAATATCCCTTGTCCCCTTCCCCTTCTCCCTCGCCCCCTATCTCCTTTACCACCACATTCTAGCAGGTTCTAACACAGACCTCCCCTTTCTCACTTCTTAAGATGACACCTGCGCCAAGCGGTGGTGGCCTTTAGTCCCAGAATTTGGGAGGTGGAGGCAGGTGGAGCTCCTTGAGTTCGAAGCCAGCCTGGTCTACAGAGTGAGTTCCAGGACAGACACCAAAGCTACAGAGAAGCCCTGTCTTGAAAAACAACAAAACAAAACAAAACACACAACAACAAAACTACCTTTTCTGGTCATTTGCTGCTGTGTTTCTGCCCGAGTCAGAAAGCAGCCACTTTAACTTTTCTTCCCCACTTAATAAAGGCTCTCCCTGCGAAAACAGGTGTTTGGGTGTGGTTTACACCTAATCTGGGGTCTGGAAGGGAGCCCCCCCTGTGCGGGAATCTCCTTCACTCCTAATTCTCAGTCCTTTCATAGAAACGTTGCTGAAGTCACCCTAGGAAATGAGAACACACAAGACAAAGCCTGAGTGTTAGGAAACTAACTCTGAGAGGAATCTGATCTGAGCATGGCTTTGTAATTTCCTGAAAGTTAAAAGAACATGATCCAGCCGGGCGGTGGTGGCGCACGCCTTTAATCCCAGCACTCGGGAGGCAGAGCCAGGCGGATCTCTGTGAGTTCGAGGCCAGCCTGGTCTACCAAGTGA